AAAAAAAAAAATTGAAAGTATGGTTGCAATTAGTTTTTTTTTCTTTTTCTTTTTCTTTTTTATTTTATTTAAAGATAATAGGGATGACAGTGGGGCGGGGCGGGGTCCTTGCCCCGTTTACTACTCATTTAATTTTTTTTTTTTATAATTTATTTTTGTTACCCATATTCATTAGATTTAGACAAATAATTTTAGTTTCTATTTTTTATTAGAACTAATGAATTGTGAAAATTTTCATTTAAAGTATTAAATTCTAAAAAAAAAAAAATTTACGGGCGGGGCGGGGTGAGGGACCCATTACCCGTCCCTGCCCCAAACCCTCCCCGGGGCAAAATTCTCGGCCCGTTCCCGCCCTAGCCCCGAATACTCGATTAAGCGGGTTATTCCCGCTCCTTAGGGGCGGAGCTTAGCGGGAATCTGGTTTGTCGGGTTTTTTTGCTATCCATAAAAGATAAGACTATATTCGTCATTTCACAAATTTTTAATTGAGCAAGTAGATGAAAATGACCTTTTACCCAATGAAAGGTGAAAATAAGGGTGAAAATACCAAAAAAAGAAAGATATGAACGTTTTCCACAATAACAATGAAAGGTGGAGACGTTACGTGCTAATTACCCTATTTTTTATATTGACTGAACTTATTAATTTAGAGCTTTAATATTTAATTTATTTAATTACTAAGAGAATATTCAGCAAGTCCTTCCACTGGGATACGAAATTACAGAGTACATTACTCACTTTGAAGAATTATTGACAAAATTAATGACTTTTTCACTTACAAGTAAAATATGTTTGTCTTGAAAATTAATCTCGTGGAAAGTGAGAAAAACTTGTTCGATCAAAAATGATTTGACGTGGATCAATAAAGCTCACTTTTTAATTAATTTGTCAATCATACATTCAAGTCACTTTTTCTAAGGGTCCGTTTGATTGCAAATGTGGAAAATTGGTGCAAAGAAAATATTTTACGGGAAATTAATTTACCTAAAAATTGTTTTACTGGAAATTGTAATTAATTGTATTTGATTGGTATAATTTTCCATGAAAAATGTTGAAAGTTTGGTATTCGTTTGACTTTCTTGTTTATGAAAATTGTCCATTAAAGTGATAATGTTTTCTACCATTGTGTCTAGTCCAATTGCAAAAAAAAAAAAAAAGAAAAAATAACCATACCGAAAACCATTTGTCTGATTTTGTTTTGTATGGAAATTGTCAATAAAAGTGAAAAAATATTTTACCATTGTCTCTAGGATTTTTTTCAATTGTAAAAAAAAAAACTGAAATATATTTACCCACCAAAATATCAAGAATTTATTTTCCTCAAAAAGGTTAAAAATTTGAAAAGTTGGAAAATATTTCTCGGGAAAATTTTACGTATCAAACACTACAAAAGTTGAAAAATGGAAAATATGTGCTATCAAATTGGGCCTAAAATAAAAAGTTATATTTGTTATTATATTACGTAACACGTGCATTGTATAGATTTTCGAGTGTGAATGGATCAATTTTAAATAATATATCTACCATAAATAAAAGAGGCACTTCCTTTTTTATTGTTCATAAGCCGTTAGCTGAGCCGAGCCAAACGGCTTTATGGCTCAACTCTTCTAATTATTTTATTTTATTTTTTTTGGAATTTTTTTCGGAAT